CGGAGACGCGCGCCGGTCGGGGGCGCTCCGGTTCTAGCCGCCCCGCCTGCGCGCCCCGTCGCCGCATCACAATGCCCGCGTGGCCGCAGTCCCGAGGGCCGCGGCTCCCAGCTGCGCAGAAGGGGCCTCCGCCTTCCCTGAAGGCAAGGGCTTCAGAGGCGGAGGGTTCACAGCTCAGTGACTCGCAGCACCGTTGGGGAGCCCGCTTTGCGTCGGCCCCGTGAGCTAGCCACGGGCGGTCCGGGTGGTCCAGGGGCTGCTCCAGCGCCGCGGTGCCTGAGACACCCGGGGGCGAGGCGACAGGCTGCTGAGGACGGGCCGAGCGGCCGCGTGGCTTGCAGACCCCTGGAGAGGGGCCAGGGCTGATAGCGGGGGGGTGGAGCACTAGCCCGGGCCGCTGTACGGCTGTGCAGGTGCAGGGCGCGCTCAGCCTCGGCTCCGCACCCAGGGTCATACCAAGGGTGGGAGAATGCAGCCACGTCCTTCATACAAATTCGCTTGCTTTTGCATAAAATGTTGGAAGTGGTTTTTTAAAAAAATTATTTTCTCTTGCAGTTATGTGGCTTTCTCCATTACATTAGGCCGTGGTAACTCACTGTGTACATTCAGAAATCCTTGCGACTGAAGCTCCACCGACAGTTTTCAAACGTAACAACATTTTTATGAATTATATCTAACAAGGAATTCGATACAACAGTACATTTTGTAGGAACATCAACACGAGTTGGTTTTGATACTTATAATTTTGTAGTCGATTCTTTTGGGTTTTTTGCAAGTAATAATAGTTATCATAGTAAAACACTGAACACTAATATTTAACATTAGGAGGATGGTTAAGTCTATTTTTGTTCCATAATACCATTAACGTGTGCGACTATGTTTTTCAGGAACATTTAAATTGTACATGTTAAATGATTTTTAAAAGCAAATATGCAATATGATTCTAATTTTAAAAGCATGTCTGTTGCTGTATCTATGTCCATAAACACCTGAGTGGTAAGATGAAGTGGTTTAAAATATATTCTTTAAAGTTTTCTTTATTTTTGTATTTTCCTTCTGATCATGCATTACAGGGAGACCTCATTTTATTGTGCGTAACTTTATTGTGCTTCACGGGTGTTGCGTTTTTTTACAAACTAAAGACAAAACCCTCCACCAGCACACAAATGACCACTCACATTGCTCTTCTTGCTATTCGATATGGTGATCTTGAACAGAACCTGCCATATCTCCAAGGTATGCCTGTATTTTATAGTAAAATATAATTTTTAAAAAATACATTTGTGTTGATTTTAGAGAGGAAGAAAGGGAGAGAGAAAAATATCAGTGATGAGAGAAAATCATTGATTGGCTGCCTCCTTCACGCCCCCTACTGGGGATCAAACTTTAAACCCAGGTCTGTGCCCTGACTGGGAATGTAACCACGACCTCCTGGTTCAATATGACACATGATTTGCATATTAGCCTTTCATTATATAGGATTCTTTGTAAGAAGGGATTTCTGAGTTAGCAGTGATTCTTTGTTCAGATCACTTGAGAAGTCAGTGCCAGAGCGCTTGTTGATGGTGTTTAGTGGGAAATGTGCTGGAAACAGCCTGTGAAGAGGCGGAGAGTGAAATGGAGAGAGCCAGAAGGAGAGAGTTCAGCAGCAGGGAGGATCCTGGGAGCGGAGGGGGTTGTGAGGCTGGGGGGGTCTGTGAAGGGTGGGGTTTCCTGGGCTAGGGCAAGAGAGATTTAGGTAGTAAAGGAGGGTGATCCCTGAGGACAGGAGATAAGTTCATTCATTTTTCCAGTTTTGAATGCTTATTAATTTTTCTTTTCCCTATTCAAAAACTTTTATGTGCTGTGGGTTTTTTAAAAAGTTATCGTTGTTCCTAATGTAAGTGATTGAAATAGAATGTGGGGAAAACATGAATCATTACTTCCAGAATTTTGCATTTTATGATGCTTATTTAGGCTCATTTTTGTATTGTTCCAGCGTCTGCCCTTCCCCTCCTTCCCTGTCCCCCTCCCCCCTGCTCCCGACACCCCTCAGGAGGCACTTCATCACCTGTGGCCTCTGCGCTGCAGGTGGTGATCCTGGTTCTTGTTGCCAGTCTGCACTCTCCCCTGTTTTTCTGCCTCCCCTGTGCCTGATGCTCTCACCACTTAAACATTGTTTGTTCAATAAATAAACTGCTTAGGCCAGCCAATGTGGCTCAGTGGTTGAGTGTTGACCTATGAACCAGGAGGTTGAAGTTCGATTCCTGGTCAGGGCACATGCCCGGGTTGTGGTCTTGATCCCAGTGGTGGACGTGCAGGAGGCAGCTGATCTGTGATTCTCTCTCATCCTTGATGTTTCTATCTCCCTCTCCCTTCCTCTCTGAAATCAATAAAAAGTATATTTTTGAAAAACCTGCTTATAGTTTTCTGCTGATGGGACAGGTTGTCTAGACGTGTTTCGGGATGGTCTCTCCTGGCACCTCCCTCCTTTGTTTCCAAAGCTTTATCCTGCACTTGTCACTCAACAGGACACTGTCTGTGTCTGCCTCCCTCTCCGACTGTGAGCTCCTCAAGGGAGAGCGCCCTGTCTGATCATCGGCTTTACCAACAGCAGGCACAGCATGCTGTGTCAGCCCTTAGGCAAGGCAGGTAGAATAACTAGTGCCAACAGGCTTTCACAATGCTTATCAGAATGTTCCGGACATAAAAACAACGTTGTTGGCTCTGAAATATTTCTTACCTCTGCAAATTCAAAGCCAAAGATGTTTAATGAAGTGTCTCCCAAGTATATCAGTGTCAGAATCTTTCCTGGTTATAGTTAGCATCACAGTTTGTTCCATTCTAAAATTTATAGGTTAGACTTTGATTACAAAAGTCCTCCCGGCCTGCAGGATGATTTCAGGGACATCCCAGTCGATGAAAAATGTATTTGGCTTCTCCTAGCACACAGTATTCAAAGCAAAATCAGACATCCTGTCAGAAACCTATACAGGTAGATAGTAATCTGTAAGACAGAGGTGCCCAGGGCCCTGGGCGCTCCTAAACAGCCCCTCTCCCCGCTGCAGAGAGGGGAGCAATTCGACTGAGGCTGTGCCCTTCAGCTTGCCACAGACCCCTTCCATGCCCTCGTGTCTCACACCTGCCCAGCCTCATCTGCTTACTGTGCTTGTGGGACATCGAAAGGCCCCGAGTTCCCGGGTCCTGGTCTTGGACTTAGAGGTGGAAGAGAGAGTAAAGCTAAATTGCAGCCCGGCTAGCGTGGCTCCGTGGTTGAGCATCAATTTATGAATCAGGCGGTCATGGTTTGATTCCCAGTCAGGACACATGCCTGGGTCGCAGACTCGGATCCTCCGTGTGGGCCGTGCAGGAGGCAGCCGATCAATGATTCTCTTTCATCATTGATGTTTCTATCCCTCTCTCCCTCTCCCTCTCTGAAATAATATATATATGAAGTTAAATTGCAGACATACGCCAGTGGAACATCAATTTATTTCAGAATCACCCGAGGACACCTCCAGACACCCCAAGGTTCTAAAGCAGTGTGTCTGGGGGTGGTCAGGGAATGTACATTTTGAGTGAGGTCACCTTGGGACAGTGACCGCCAAAGACAGTTTTCTCTGGTGCTGGAAGACCTGTAACTTCCTTTTCCTAAAACCC